GACACTGACAGACCTCAGCCGCAGACTATGTCTTAGAGCTTGCCTGTTTATTTAGAATCTTCTATTTCCATATCTTTTTTTAGACCCTATTATTTCAATTTGAAGGGCTACCTTTAAATTAGATATCTATCTCTGATAGGATGCCCTCTAACTTTACGACAGGTTACGGTGCTTCAGCATTGGTATGAGCCTGCTAGTATTGGTACGACAGCTCCAGCAACAAGATTTCTCTACTACTGAATCGATTGTCCGAATTTGATGAAGATTTAGTGGCAAAAACTTTTGAGTTATGTAGTCTGATCGTTGATATCATCTAGTACTTAGCGCAATAACAAATTTATTAGCGACTTTTCACAGTAATTTCTAACGTAATCGCTAAGTTTATAGAATTCAGTGCGGAAGGGAAAGTCTAAGTTCAAGCTGGCTTTTCGAAATGCATCAGTAGAACCACAAAGGATTTGGAAGTAAATAACTAAGTAACGATCAATTAGGCAGATTGGGTACCCTGTTTAGCAGAGGTTGAGAAAAGGTAAAAAAGAAAAAGGGATTTCTAATCATAGTCAGATTAAAATAGGGATTTCCTATTTTCCATATCTCCGCTCCAGCTGAACTAAAAACTCCCATGATGTGTTGAAATTGTCATACAATGTAGCTGAGATTCGCCCGCAGGGCGAGCAATAATCGTAGGCAGCAGTTTGTAACTAAAAAGATGAAAATAAACTTACTTCTTGCGCGTATACTAACGTTCTTTAGAGTTCGCGACAAAAATGCGTCCGTTACGCTTGGGATTTCCGCCATAATACTGATGTCTATTCCATCACTTCTTGCAATAGCATTCTAAATTGCGCTTATTAGAGATCTAGGTCTATCGGGATTTAAGTCAAGATGGAGTATCACCTGGATGTCGGTCCGCATAACATCGCACTTTTGCGCGTCTCCCGCGTTGGAATAGATAAATGCGAATTCGTTCCATCCAAAAGACTGAAGCACTGCGCTGACAGCGATTCCGAGGCTGCAATATAATCAAATCTCTAAATCTTTGTTTGATTTATAAGCGTAGGATCATCTCATAGCTGGTGTTTCAGATGGTATAGTCGCAGTTCTATTATTTCACGGAGAAACTAATGTTCGAAAAAGTTCCTTTTTGACAGAGTTATGGTAAAGTTTTCACCGGCCATTCTTCAAATGAATGCTTTGCCTTTCCTAAGTATTACAAAACCAAGAAAAATGCTAAAAATTTGCTAGTTGAACTAACAGGTGATTGATCAAATACAAAGTACTTCTCATTGTCATGGGAATTGGATAATTACTTGTTTATTTACGAGTATAGCCACATTAAAATTTCATTCTGTTGTTCATTCGAATTCATTTACCCGACCAGGCGCAGTCCGAACTATTGTTGGATTAGTAAAAAATGTTGTCATTAAAAGTGGTAAGACATTTTAAAAATTTTGGCAAATGTCGCACAGACAGCAGACAGCGAGGTTTAATCAGGAACACCAACTTTTTACTTTTTACCATTGAAGGCCAGAGCTACCTTAGCTACTGAGAGGTTGTGAGTGGAAATAATTGGTAAATGCAAGATTATTTTACTTTGTTCATCTCCTCGGATCCTTTTCGCTAATAAAAAAAAGTTTTGTTGAATGAAACAATAGGTAAATTGAGTCAAGACTTAATTGGTTGAAACTTTACAAGTTTTTTTTTACTCCAATATATAAAGTTCGTT